AACGCTCCGGTTAACGATCGTCTTCTTGTTCTCACTTCTTCTTCACTCGTCTTAAACACTCTTTTGCTAAATCCTACATTTGCTTTTTCTAGCCCTTTTCTCTGGAATTCTAACCTATCTAACCTAATTCTCTGACTACCTCTCCATCACTTACGAAGTTCAGAGCGTATCTCAAGACCCATCTGGTTGCAAAATTCATTGAGGAGCGCTGTTGAACATCGCGGAAATAGCGCTTTATAAACTATTTGATTGATTGATTGAATAATTGATTGATTGATTGATTGATTGATTGATTGATTGATTGATTGATTGATTGATTGATTGATTGATTGATTGATTGATTGATTGATTGATTGATTGATTGATTGATTGATTGATTGATTGATTGATTGATTGATTGATTGATTGATTGATTGATTGATTGATTGATTGATTGATTGATTGATTGATTGATTGATTGATTGATTGATTGATTGATTGATTGATTGATTGATTGATTGATTGATTGATTGATTGATTGATTGATTGATTGATTGATTGATTGATTGATTGATTGATTGATTGATTGATTGATTCCTTCTTCTTTATTGCATAATATTCTGTGATTGAACAGACCAATTCTTGAGTTACAAACTCTATCACAGATTAGACAACAATAGGAGTCTTTTAAAGGATTGAGAGATGACGGTGCTTTTCTTTTTTTGCGCCTTTCAGAGGCAGTTTCAGATTTTTTAGATTGTCCCACTATAATACCATCTCTAACACTTTGTCTCCATGCAGTTCGATCCTTATCAATGCGTAAAGTCCTGATGTCTCGCTTGTTAATTTTGGACGACCAATTGTTTTTTTACCCCTGACCAGTTTGGCTTAATGAATTTCTTTAGGGATTCTGACATATGGTGTACCTGTCCGAGCCAGCGTGGTCTTTTCTGCGTCAGAAGCGCATAGATACTGCACATATTAGCTTTTTTTAACACTCCCTGATTTGACACCCAATCTCTCCATGAGATGCGCATAATGCGTTTCAGGCAGTGTATGTGAAAACTATTCAATTTATGCTCTTGATACATAAGTTGACCAATTCTAACTGCAATAGAGCAAAGTACTCAAAACACATATGCTGTATACAAGTTTTTTGGTAGCTGTAGTAAGTTTAGTATTTTACCAAACACGATTTGAAAGTTTTGCCATGACTCCTGGGGCTTTTGCAATTTGTCTTGAAAGCTCTATGTCAGATTTAAGTTGCCTGTAATTGTTGGCCCAAGATAAGTAAATTGATTTACCGCATTAAGAGTATGATCACTGTTGATTATCGGTAATTCGTTTCTACCTTGAGCAAGTATTTCGGTTTTGGTAAGACTTTAGGTAAGCCTAAATTCTCGACATGCATTTGCCAAGATAACAATAAGGTTTTAACAGATCCTTCAAATTGCACAACAGAGAGCTGTTATCATTCCCAACAGTTTAGAAGAACAAACAACATCTAGTAACTAAGTCAAAGGCTTTAGTAAAATCAATGAAAGCAATAAAAAGTTGCTGTCTTTGTCCATTTCATTCAAAGATGGCAAACTTTGAACTTTTGACTACGCAGCGGCAGTAGCAACACTCTTGGTTTTATAGAGTTCTACAAAGTTTTTAGCCTATTTTTCCATTTAAGATGCACGGTTTTTAATTATAGCACCATCTTTTGATTTGAGTGGAACTCATCTGCTAACATTTGGTCTAAAAGTTTTTTTATATCTCCATAAAATCCCTTTGCATTACCAGAATCAGCAAAAAATTGAATATTTTTACAAAAATCTTGCCAATATCTATTTGCACATTGTCTAGCAAGTTTCTGTGTTTTTTTTCTTGAATCTCTAAAAACAGTATGTTACTTTGTGTGGGTTCTCTTTTGTAAGCTATCCGAGCTTTTCTTTTGTTCTTTTTTTAGCAATTTCCATTTCTGACAAGTTTGTTTCATACCAATCTTTATTTTTTTAGTTTTATTTTTCAAAAAAACAATAGGCGTAACGCAGATCCTTGAAGAAAACCAAACGACGACGATTTTTTAATCTTAGATAGTCATCAAGGAACAAAAAATGCTATGTAGGTAAAATTTTTAGAGAAAAAAATAGTGCCAGAGAATCCAATTAAATGCTGTAATTTATTAATTAAAATCACATAATCAACTCAATCAAAAGCCTCATTTGTGCCAAGCAGAACAAGGAACAAAACTCATCAATTGCAATAAATAATTCTGAAGCTTTATTAATGAGTGCAGTTTCAGTCGAATGGAACCAACAAAAACCAGACTGGCAAGATGAAAGAACATCATTTACGGACAAACAGCAATGCTACGGCCTGTTGACAAATTTTTTCAATAATTTTAGCCAAAAACGAAAAGTTAAAAACCGGGCGATAATTCGCATGTTTCAGCAAAGAAGGAAACTGGCCTCAGTAAATGGTTAGGATTAGAGTATGTGATAAGTGCTAAAAATTGGAGGAATAAATCAACGTAAAAACATGGGGTGGCAATGTGTTAAACTGTTGGATGGATCTCGTTGTTTCATCCAACCTGTTATTGCTAAAAATGATATCAGTGATGAAATCCATTTGGACATCAAAAAATTATCAGATGTCACAAGTGATCTCAGGGATGAAGATGATATCTATGCTCTGAATCGCACCGTCAGTTTTAAGGCCAACGGAATGAACTTGATTCATTCGAGAAATCACTCGATGATTTTAAAACTGAAGTCAAAGAGTCAGGGTCTTGTATTGTCATAAGGGGTATTGACTCTGTTAGAAATGACCTGAAATCCATTAGCAAATCCTTAAATTAAACTTATGACGTCAAAAAAAAATAAAACAACATTGTCATTTTAAACCTTGCCGAAATTATGGCAAAGATAAAAATACTGTTTTGTCGGCTGTAAATAAGCTGACAGCCGATTCTGTCAAAGCTGTGGATAATTTAAAAAATTACCGAAGCTAGTACTCCACGCCCGGTTATAATAAAATTTGTCAATTTTGCTCTTAAAATAAAAGCGATGTCAAAAATTCGTTATATAAAATCCCCTGACGGCGATCTTAACAAGATCAGGCTTAGTCATGATTTAACTTGCGAGCAGCGCACTGAGTTGCGCGGTCTTATGGCTGATGCAAAGTGTAAGGGTGGTGGTGATCAGCATTTTTTCTATCGGGTCAGGGAAGCAGTCGGTCGATGGAAAATAGTAAAACTTTCAAAGACTCTATTATAGTTGAGTTAAACTTTGGTTTACTAAACATCAGGTTAATTCTTTTTAGCCTAAATAATATTTACAAACTGTTTTCTAGTGGTTTAGATATTTTTTTGACGCTGTGGTAAGCCCTGTTCCGAAAAAGTTAAAATTAACCTTCAAGTTATTAGCCTGTGTCAAACTGTGTTTTTATCTAAATTTGTTGAACGCATAGTTTTTCAGCAACTTGTCACTCACTTAAACACCAATAATCTTTTTCCGGTTTACCAATCTGGTTATCGTCAGTTCAATTCGACTGAGACGGCTTAATTGGATGTTTGTTCAAATTTGTGTTCTTCCACAGATGCTCAGAATGTGTCGTTGCTTGCTCTTTTAGACATGAGCTTTGTCTTTGATTGTGTCAATCACTCATTACTTATGCAAGCTTCAATAATTATATGAAATTTCGCTTTTGTGTTTTTCTATCGTGCACATGCACACCCTTCCTGAGATACAATCTTTGCAAATTTTTTATCGAGCGCCTTCTCAAGCGTCATGGTATTTTTGTTGTACCTTATACATAAATTAAAATTTAGACAAATACAAATTTAAATTCCAATGTGGTGAGTTGTAATCGGTGGCCTATTTGCTCAGAAGCACGTAAGGCAGCGTCGAAGCAGTTTAATATTATTGGGACTTATGTTTGTGTATGTCTAAATTTTAACTTGTAAGGCAGAACAAAGAAGTCTGAAGCCTGAGTGGAGATGTTTGAAGAGTGTGTCTCAGGAGGGGTGTGCACCATAAGAGAAAGGCAAACCCGAGGTCTTAGGCCCTAGAAAAGCCCTAAATGGGGAGTAACGCCTATAAACGCTGATGATGATGATATACAAATTGAATTATTTTTACAAATGTTCAATGGCTAAAAAAGTTCATAAATTTTCAAGTATTTACAAATGTATGTTTGGCAATAATGAAATTAGAAGGGTAGATTATAAGAAATCATTTAAAACTAATATCCAACAAACAAACTTTTTTTCAAATAAATTTCTTTCTAGCTTTACTTCTTGTGAATTCATCGATAAATTTTGCCGTGTCCAACACCATTTAATGTTTCTTATTTTATGTACAAAATTGCTAAATTATTCATTTTTTGTTTTCCCATTGTGCTCCTCAAATAATTTTTAATTTTCTTCAAAACAGAAAAAGACCTTTCACCGGATGCATTAGAACAGTTAGAAAAGTTAGGGATGTCCGAAGAAGTGTCACTGTAGCTAATGCATCACATATTGCTTTCAAACTTATTAGAAATTACAGTACAGAGTAAATTGCTGATGTTGCAAACGCTTATTAACGTCGAATTTAGCCATTAAATTGAATTATTTTAATTTTTATAATATCTTAAAATTTATTTTAATTATTTCTATAAATTTATTTTTTAGACCAATGGCCAATAATAAAAATAGTATTAAAAATTGAATAATTTTTTAAAATGCTCTTTTATTGGAAAAGTCATTTAAATTCTTTTTTAAAAGCAAAATTTTTCACGCTCTGTTAGCTTTTCAGAATTCTTCCTCATTAAAAAATGAGTTTATCAATTTTTAATTTAAGTTGTTTACTGTTAGGTAATTTTAAACAATTAATTCTATTGTCACTATTTGTGTTATCTTGAGTTTCATTACTTTCTTGCAAAACGAATAAGTATAGAAAATAAAATCATCAAAAAGTAAATCAAATCTGTTGACAATAAAATGGTCTTGATAATAATTTTTCTGTTGATTTGTCATTAAAACTTTGAAATCTTCACCCACAGAGTTTTCTTCGGCAATAAGCATCGAAGAGATCACTGGACCAGATGTAAGTTGCTCCGTAAATGTTCGTGGATCCTTGATACTGATCAATGGCCAGCATCCAACTGGCATCATCGTAGTTCAGATCATACCAACTGTTGTTGTTAGCATCTCGTGTTGGTAGGGTGCCTGAACATTTCCATGTTGTGTTCGTCAGGATGTAACCATCTCGTGTGTAAGCCTCAATGTATTCTGAATTTGCAAACGGGTTGTCGATAAAGTAGTTAATATTGTTTTATAAATTTTAGATAAATTCTAAAAATTACAAAATAAAAAAGTTCAACTGTGAAATTCAACTTTCTTTCTTTAAAAAAATGTATTTAGTTATAAAACAATGTAAAATGTTTAATTCATTTAATAAATTTATAATTTAGTTAAAGGTTATAATAATCAAACATATTTTTGAACTTGTTTTACTTTCAGTAATTTTTAAACAAATCAAATTTTAAATTTAAAAATCGTACTAATTATATAATTATATATATATATATATATATATATATATATATGTATATATATGTATATATATATATATATATATATATATTATCGAAACAATAAAACAAAAGAAATGATGTTAAAAGAAACATTGCACATGGTCTTACTTTCGCCGGATAGGTTGATGGCTTGAATGGCGATGATTTTCACGTCAGAACGAACAGTTGTGGAATAGCCATAACTGCCTGGTGGAATGACTTGTGAAACACCGTCAAGGTAGAGAGCTTCAAGTTCGAAATCAATGAAAACGGTCAGCGTTCGATTGAAAACATCTGAAAAGGCTAATAATTAATTTGTTTTTGTCACATTATATTTGACATTTGATGAGAAAGATTCAAAATTTTAACCTCTCGATGTCAAATGCATGCAACCAAAAACTTCTTTAAAACATTTTGGTGACATACCGCAAAAAATTTGACAAGTTTTGGAATTTTCTTGGAAGTTGAAAGCTTGACAGTCATTACTTTTTGAACAAATGAAAGAACATGAAAGGAGCGCTTCACTAATTGATTTGTTGTTGAATGTTGTTTGCGCTAGAGGCTGGTCACAGCGGCACTCATTTTTCTGCTGACTGTTCAAATGTCTCTTGAAACATTTTGCATTGCCGACAGAATTTTGACTAAACACCAAAATGAAAAGATGGAAAAATTTTATAAAATGATTCATTATAGACAACATATTTTTCTTTCCCTATCAATTTTAAATAAACCAAGAATTTTATTTGAAGATAAAAATCCCTATTTTTAAATGTAACCGTAGTTTATAAATTGTTTGCGAATGAATCATTTATAACGTAGCCTTTTTCTTATTATTATTATATCGTCATTATTATTATATCGCCGAGAAGCAAAGTACTTCATTTTTTCATTATATCGTTATCTGGCTTTTTGTTGAAGTTAATAGTAAAGAATAATAGTGAAGATGAACAAGTGCACATCACGGAAATCGATGTTATTATGTTTACTACTTTCATGACAATTCATAAAATAATTTTTTGAATGCTATGTATCCCTATCTTGCAAGCTGTCCTTTAAAAACATTTCCGTAATTATTAGTAGTATTGTGTGCATGGTTTTGTGTCGTTATTGCATTTTTTGAAATGTTTGTTTTGGAAATGTCGCAACAATATTGTAATTGATTCCTTTCAGTAGTGCATTTTATCATAATTTTCCTTTTGTAGTGGATTATATTTGACTGCATTATTTCTTAATGAACAGAAAGATTATATTGCCTTAGAACTAGACTAAGTAATCTAATGAAATAATTAATGAATAAAATACATTAAATTAGGTACAAACTATTAAATTTTATTTTTGCCCTTAAAGTGGGTTTAAATATTGGTAAAACTTTAAAAGTTAAAATCGCAAATTTATCAGTAAAAGCTATTGAAAAAGCTATTCATATGGATGTTTGAGTGGTAAAACAAAAATATACATCAAAGAATTCTCGATTGATTAAAAATTTTCTAAATATTTTGTATATTCATTCAATACAGTGGCGTATTAAGATTGCCAGGCGCTCTGGCAGCAGGGTCCATCGGCTACCCCTACCATTAACTCATTTATCAAAAGTTTTATAAGAAGAGCCATAATTTAGCAATAAAAAAAATTATATATAGGTTAAACAAAGTTAGTTAACGATTGATCGATCTGTAGCGTAACCGCATTTTCTAAAAGATATATTTTTTTTATTTTTGAATTTGCAAAGTTGACAATGACATGATCAAACAAAAATAAAGGTCTGCATACCTACCTATGTCTGTACGTCTGCACACTTAGCAGTGCTATGTCAGACAAACAGACTCTCCTGTTTAAGTAAAAGTTAGCTTTCGGAACAAAAGTTTGGAATGACGTCATTGCCACAGAGATAAATAAATAAATGTAATTTCCGTGGACTTCTGGTTACTGCATCCGATCGGTTTTCAAAAATTTCTACAAACAGCTCGTTTCCACCAACTATATTTTCACAAAAAATTAAGCAAGTACTCAAAAAAAGACAAGTATTCAAAAACAGATGTAGCCCATCATTTTTAAAATCAATTTTTAACAGTCAACTTTTGTGTTATCTTTGGACATGACGCTAAATCTGACAATAAATTTAAACTCTTTATAAGAGATTTTTATTAACAGCTTCGAGCAATGCATTTTATTTTTTATACCAGCTTATAAATTTAAAACAATAACAGCCGGGCTGAAACTTGAATTTAAAAAATTTTATTCCTTCTCTTTTAATAAGGTATTTTTATGCCATGACGTATGTTTGTGTTTTTGTAATGTATGTTTTATGCTTTAAAAAGTACGTAAAACTTTATAATTTATATAGATATAAAAAGGAATGACAAGCAATGTTTAATTTATGAACTTTTAGATTATATAAACCGTATGTTTATTTTTAGTATTTGTTTTGCACGTGTAACTTTAATACACATGATATATACAATACGATACGATACAATTTTATTCGACCCCAAAACAAATTTGAAGGCACAGGATGACTGTGAGAAGTCTACGGAAAACTCATCGGACACAGCCACTTAACATAAATAGACAAATTTTAAAATCATGCACTGAACAATGTCTCTAATGAACATAGATTAACATTATGTTTCTAATCAAAATACTATATAAAATGTGCGAATACCTAAGTAAAACACACATCATACAACAATTAGATTTTTATAATAACCATATAAAATTCATGTACCTTATATAGATTAGATCTGATCGACCCTTTGTGTTGTATAACATAATAATGAGAATACAGAGAAACGGCCGAAAGAAGATGAAAGCAACGAGTTAACAACTGTAAGACACAATACGAATAACACATTAGCAACTTGTTTGTATAGCTTAAATTTTAATTTTAAAGACTCCTACAGGCAAGCTGTACAAGCAAATTGACAGTGTAGGCATGGTGTCTTGTTCGCAAATTTCTTTTTGGAACATCTTGAAAGCAAAACATTCAGAAGCAATCCTGAATTAAAACGAAACATTTATGCCAGAAACATTGACCACATCTTCGTCGCATACCATGACTATGAACAAGTAAACCCTTTTCTAGCAAACGTGAACCGGTCAAAATTGAAATTTTTATTAAGCAGGTAAGTGATATTTCTGGAGGTTTTGGTATCGTATGATGTATTTACGATTACCGTATATGTAGAAGCAACAAACAAAAAAGTATTTGTTTAAATGGACTAAGCGAATGCACAGAACAGTTTAAAGTAAGTACAGTAAAATCCTTTGTGAACCGTGCATTCACGCATTCATCTTTCATCTTCAACTAAAGATCGCAATACGGAACAGAAAAGAATTACTAATTTACTAGTAAGCAATGGCTACAAAACATCCATTGTAAACACCATTTAAGAGAGACTACAACAGAATAACAATATACTCAAAAACAGTAATAACAACGACATAATCTTACATTACAGTAATCATATGTCAAGGGCACCTAAAATAGCCGAAATCATCCTCAGGCAAATCATAGAAAAGACGTTACACCAACCAATGATACTAATGAAATAAAAATCAGGATATACTGCAAAAATTGTAAAGCATCACAATTGGTTTCAAAGAACAACTGCACACATAAAGACAATTCTAGTTAGAAACAGACTAGGGTGATGTAATTTTGAAATTTGAAATTAGTAATTTTTTCACTTCAATCATTGAGATCCAATTTTTTTTAACAAGAGTTGAACTGTAGCACGCTTAGACACAAGATGGGAATGTTTAAAAAAATAAGCTCTAATTTGTTAAATTTGTTAAAAACGGCGGAAACATATGTAGACATTTTTCAAAATGATTTTTGGAATCACATCAAGTTGAACCAAATTAGGTGGTGAATTGAGAATGATTGACTTTACGTCGGATTCTAAGCATTTAGAAAAGGTGGAAACAACTTATTGATTGATTGAATAAATGATTGATAATCAAAGAGTACAATTTGAAACCTAACTCAACACATTTTTCCAAAGACTGTTAAATAGTGAATCTTCAACCTGAAAAATTGTGCAATTTTGCTGGCAGTTAAATTCGAATTGATGGTTTGGTTTTTGTCATTTACTTTACACAAAATCTAATTGAAAACTTGCCAAATTTATTAAAGGCTTACCATTTTTTCAAAAATGTTTTTCCAGTAAAATGTTTTCTTTTCTCTGTATATTATGTATCAATCTTGTAATGCCGATTTCCAAGCAGAAGCATCCACATCTGATAAAAATCGTCTATAACCGCGTTCCAATTTTAGAAAAAGACGTTTTGCTTTTTTACATTCACCACCAAACCACATAGCTAATGAAACTTATTTATACAAAGCAAAATGCATCAACGCAACAGCATCAACTGCTTCTTGTTTTTGTCAAACATATCAGTAAATTCATCAATATTTTTAAGCTAACAAGACTTGGTAATCGGTGAAGCAGTAATCAATTTAATCAATTTTTTTTATCAACTTTTTCCAGTTTAGAATCGGTTTAGTAACAACTGCAAGTGTCTTGACTATTTTTCCAATCACAAGCCTAATGTGACAATGACAAGAATATTTGTTACATGGACCAACAGCAAAACTATTAATCGAAAACTCGTGCGTTGAAATGACCAAGTCAAATAGTCTTCCTAGTTTTTAGTAGGTTGTGTAATTATGTTCTGTAGACCAAAAGATTTTAATGTCAACAAAATTAATCGCATGTAGATCGTATGGGTTTTTTGAATACAAATTAAAACCGCCGCAGATATGTATATTTGAACTCATTGTAAAGTGCTTCAAAACTGATACAAGCTCCTCAAAGAAATTTGGTTGAACCTGCATTGAACCCGGGCAAAAAAGACATTAAAATAAAACTAAATTGTCAACGTGAACCTTAGCAGCTAACGCTTCAAAAGATTGAAATATAGGAAAATCAATTCACATAATGTTGAACATCGATATAAAGTAACTCTGATTAAACCTCCGTGTGAAGGATCATGTGGTCTGATTTAATCTATAATAAAATTGTAGCCTGGTGGAATTGCCAATTTTACTGAGAAGTTATCAGAAGATTTATGCCATGTATACACCAACATCCACACTAAAATAACCAGTAACTAGATCATGTATTATGTATACTTTTGGTGTTAGTGATGTGATCTGATATTCCAGAAACCAAAATTTAACAATTTTGCACAACTTTTAAAAAGACCACAGTTTATTTTCATTCAACCTTGACCCTTCATAAAATCTATCCCCATCTGACTTTTGAAAGCCTACTATTTTCCATTCTTTAACTTACCTTCTCACCCGGTACAAAATGTACTGACTGTACACTGTTTTTTTGCCTTACCAATCAAAATCTTCAATTAATTTTTTGTTCTAGAGCAATGGTATTCAACGGAGGCGATTTTAGCAAAATTGGAGTCACTGAAAACAAAAGGGGCGGTATGGGGCGATGCGTTGGAAGGTGGCCGTAAGGGGGCGTAAAGTGAATAATGAAAGGACAGGATTTTTGACCATAAAAGCATGTAATACATTTTTGTCAACGTTTTTATTGGCGAAGTGAAAATAGCAAATAATTACCCTGTTCTAATGATATTATTATACAGGTGTATGAAACAAATGATGAGCAATATGTTTAGCTCTTATAGTATACTGAGGTTCGCTGGCTTTCAAAAAGAAATTGTCGTGCTCGTTTTGTAGAATTTTTTGATACCCTCTTGGAATTTTTGAATTTGTTAATTTGCAATGATTTGAAAAATGTTAAAAAGGATTTGTTTTACATATCAGGGATCTATCGCAAAATGAATTAAACGAATTTGCAGCTGCAAGGAAAAATGTTGACACTAATGAAGCAAGACAAATCATTGGCTCTATTATTGAAAAATTAAATATTTTGTATTAAAAGGTTTCAAGAAAAGAGTTTTAAAATTTTTCAGAACTTTTTCTATTAACGAATGAATACTTCCTGAAGACTTTGATGTTTAATGGCGCAACTAGTGGGGGGTATTGGGAGCAATTGCTCCTTCAGAAATATAAAAAATTATTAAAAGGTTCGGTCAAGGCTCAAGATTTAGTTTAAAATAAATGTAATAGGAATTTATTACAAATAACGGTTTTTGCAACTATCACAAACGTACGTTTGTTGTAATTATAGAGATAAATATTCTTGGTAGGTTGGGTAAGTATGGTATAGTTAGTAGTTACTAATGTTTTTTTTTATCTTTCATAATTTTCAAGGCGCAATTAATGCTGAAAAACATACAAAATTAAAAAATATTTACACCGAAGCTTTTGAAAACCTATCTAATATCACAAACTATATTCGACAATCAAAGTCACATTGGAAGAAATTAGTAATTGGAATGACGCCAATGCTGCTAGTAAAGCAAAACAGCTTTTGGTCGCTATTAATCAATCAAAATTTGTAATATCTTTGTGTATATGTGCTCGTTTCAGGTCGCTAATTTTACATATTTTAAAAGCTCTTCAGAATCCGCATATAGATACTCTTCAGTGTATTGAACAAGTTTCTGACATGGCGCTAATTATAAACAATTATCGACAAAATGACAATAATGACTTTCATAACATTTTTGTGAAAGCTGAAAATCTACTGTTCGAAATAATACCTGGTTTGGAAAATTAACTTGTCTTGTTTTTGAACGAGTGCTTGTAAAGTTGTGTCTTATGATGCTACATTTGTATTTTATTTGCCCCCCCCCCCCCCGAAAGTTTGGTCTAGTTGCGCCACTGTTGATGTTTATGCATTTTATCTAAAATTGCTCAAGGAAGATATGACAATTCGCTTCCACGGTAAAATAATTCTAAAAATTTTAAAAGATCTAAAAGTTGAAGTGAGGATTGAAACTTTTGAAACATCTGTTACTGATGTTTAAGTTGATTTACAAAAGAAAACGGGAACTACGAAATGATGAAATCAGCAAAATGAATTTCAATAAAGGAAGTATAACTGAGATGTGGCTGCAGTAAAATGTTAATATTTTTTTATTATTCTTTAAAAAATCAGGATCTGATAGACGCAGAAGCTGTTACACATGCAAGGCAATAATATAATATGGTGACGAAAAATTAACTGAATAAATAAATAACGGAGAAAAAAATGTTTAAACATGAAAAGTATTGAAAATAAAGTATAGTAATTGTATAAAAAGGCAAATAAATAAAGTAATTTATTAACGGACTGGATAATGACTTTGTGAGTTAGTGAGGTGATTGATAAGTAAAAAAACTAAATTGAATAAATGATAAAGTTTTGTTGGATGCTAATATATTTAAGTCTCTTGTGATGAAGGTCTTTTCCTGACTGGATAATGACTTTGTGAGTTAGTGAGGTGATTGATAAGTAAAAAAACTAAATTGAATAAATGATAAAGTTTTGTTGGATGCTAATATATTTAAGTCTCTTGTGATGAAGGTCTTTTCCTGACATGCTGATTGAGTAGCGACTTAATAGTTATGCTTGCGTTGACGAAGGTTGTGTGTGGTAGTTTTGATTGGTCGTAATAAAAGAAGGGTGATGTGGTTGTTATTTTCTACTTTCTTGAACAGTCTTGAATCAAGTGTGTTGAATATTTGAGTGATGGTAGGATGAGATGCAGATATACAGTTGAGGCAAATAAGTTTTTTGATGAGAGATTGTAGTTGTTGAAGTTGTTGTTGTGTAACAAAACCAGACTAGGAGAGAGCTGCATATTTGATGTGTGAGATGATTAATGATTCTGTGATGTCGAATAATTTGATATCTCTGAGACCATGTGAGCGGAGTGTTTTGAGTGCGTGATATGCTTGAAAACCTTTTGTGACGATGTAATTAACATGAGGTGCTAAATTAAGTTTGGAGGTGAATGTGATGCCTAATATTTTTAATTGATTTTTGCGAGTGATGGATGGGTGTTATGGAGGTAATGTTTATTTTTTTTCACGACTATTGTGAATGATGAGCTTGAATGATTTACTGAGGACAGAGTGCAGATTTTGGCCATGTAATTGATGAGTCGAGTTCTGATTGGATGGTGTTTGTTTTAGATGATGGAATGATAAGATAGGTGTCGTCAGCGTATTTGATGATTTGATTAGAGCTATGAAGAGTTTCAAGAGTAGAAGCATTGATGATAAAGGTTGGTCCAAGAACAGAACCGTGAACTACACTAGAATTAATCTGAATTAAATACCCGAAGTTATGGCCAAAAATAGAAATGTTGTTATTAGCATCTTCTTCCACATACATGGTTGAAACTGGATTTAGTGCTGCAACAAGCTTAATGAATAAGCAAAGAAACAGACTGGATGAAGCCAACAGAAGGACCTTCGACCTGCTTTGACAAACATATATATATATATATATATATATATATATATATATATATATATATATATATATATATATATTTATTTATTTATACATATGCTGGTGAAAGACCGAAATAAATGCAGCGTTAGATTGTTTTCTATTACATTTCTCAATAGCTAGCATGAGCTGTTAAAGGGGTTATTAACATATTACGTGCATATGCCATTAGGCTATTGGAATTTATATTTGATACTCCACTTCTGGAATTTTTGGTTATTATGCGTCTTATTGTGACCCATTGAATTATATATAAGAATGGCTTTATAGTGTTGACCTTCATCTCAAGGTCAGGAAACTTGGAAGCAAACTTTTTTAGCACCAAATTGTCAATGGGTTTTTCCGTTTTCCAATCTATATTTAGCTTCTTCCCTGTTAATGTGCCACCGGCGGCATTCTTGTAAACGTTTTTTGCTGCTAAAATCATTCTACGGCAGTTTTAATCGATTTTTAACTTAATAATTTAACTGAATTATGTAAAATTTTTGGAATCATTTATTATTTGATCCATTTTGATTTTATAAAGTTTATTTGTTTAAAAGTTTTAAAAACGTTACATTGTGCCAGGAGACACTAGGCCCAGACTAGTAGAAGAAAAGAGGCTTTGCTTTTTTGTATTTTTATTTAAAATTTTTGACTTTTTATTTTTTTAACTATCGTTAATTAATGTTCAAATATTTTTTATATTGTTTTTATATTATGGGTTTATTATTAGTATTAGGATGCCCTTGTAAAATGGCTTATTGTCATAAGAAATACAGAATACAAAGAGTTTCTTTATTTTAATTTATTGGGTATATATATATATTATATATATATTATATATATATATATATATATATACGATGAAAAATTTTAAATGCAGCTATTTACTTTCAAACTTAAATCATATTTAGACGTTTTGCTTAATGGATGCACATCTCATCAAGCAACAGCAAAGGCAATCAAAGTATTACAAGTCCAGAATCACAATGCTGCAGGCAACAATAAGAAAACTTATGAATGAATGTAATAAATTAAAAAATGAATTAGCTACATACAAAGGTTTTATGTTATGTAACCATAGCAAAATGAATTGAAATTTTGATTAATTTTTTATTTTTTTTTTTTTGCTTCTAGATAAAAAACTCATACCATTTAAAAAGAGTTAACAAAGTATATAATGATAGTTACAAGACCTTTTATATGCAGCTGCATTTTCATGGTCCTCATGCATACCAATTTTTAAGAAAAAGTGGACTAACACTGCCACACTCGAGAACATTGAACAAGTAAAATTTTGTTAATAATGATATTCTGTAAACTAATATTGCTATATAAAGAAATATGTACAGCAAATAAAATATTGCAAATGCTCTTTAATCCTTGATTCGATATCAATAAAGCCTCAAATAACGTATAATAAGAAAATTGGTAGGTTTTTTAAAATATATTTTGTTTGTAAAATTGTGAGTTTAAAATATAGCATATTTTGGTAGCATATGCTAGTTTATTCCTTGTGTATTTTATTTATTTCTGGATTTTTTTTTTGTTTCCCATTTCACCATAAACATTTGTTTTCAATTTATTTAATTTTATTGATGTTAAATGTTAAGCATAAATTATCAAACGCATTGTTTATTTGTGAAGATGACTTTATTGGATATGTTAACTATGGAGATGGGAATGAAGACATAGTTGCTTCAGAGATGTTGATTTTTTATGTTGTTAGTCTGAGAGAAGCTTGGAGGCATTCAATAGCTTATTTTTATACAAATAAGTTATCTCACAAGTTGAAAGATTTTAGAGAAAGCCATTGATAAGTTACATAATGCTGGAGTTAGGGTAAACAACATTTGTTTTTCTTAAAGATATGTTAAAATTTTTATACATTATATTTATTTTTTAGGGTTGTTTCACTGGTAATGGATGGGTTGGCCACTAATGTTTCAGCATGTGGATTGCTTGGATGCTCTTTCACATTTCCAAACATGCAAACAAGTTTCTTGTTCCCAACAACTGGCCAGAAAATATATATCATATTTGATGCATGCCACATGCTGAAATTAATGAGGAATATGTTTCATTCTTATATGATATTTTATAATAATAATCCAATCAAATGGAATCATATTGTAAACTTAGTTAATTATCAGCAACAAATCAAAATGAAACTAAAAAATAAATTAACCAAAAATCATGTAAATTTTGAAAAGCATAAGATGAAAGTTAAATATGCATCTTGAGTCTTTAGTTGCTCTGCGGCTAAATCATTGGAACTCTTAAACGGATTTTATGTTTTTTTCAGACGTTTCTGAAACAATAGCTTTTGTGAAAAACATCAATGATCTTTTCCATATATTGAACAGCAAACTGATACTGGATAGAGAATGGAAGCAATACATTGCAAAGAGCAACCTGACAGCCAGTATAGATAAACTTTATGAAATGAAAGCCTACTTACTAAGTTTGAAAAATTTAGATGGTGTTACATTTACAAAACTCAAGGTTTTTTTTTATATATCTCAATATCTGAACTAAAACTTAATTACAAATAATTTCAGAATTTTTATTTCAGAATAATTTGGCTTGGACAATTGACATATCCCTCAAAAGGAGTATTAAAAGTAAAATGATACATTTATTTATTTTCTGGTAAAACCAATAAATTTTAATGATTTTCAGATCTGCCAAGAATCGGAAAGATTATTAAAAATAAATAATTATTGTTTTAAGAAAAAACTTGTAATTGAAAGCAACATACTCCCACAATGTGTCAACGAAGATTTATTTAACATGGAAAATCATTTCAATGATGTACAGAATGCAAACCACTATTATGAATTAATAAAAAAAATCATCATATACAACATTAAGACGTTTTAACTTAACTAAAGGGTTTTCTATCAACATGCAGTTTTAATAAAAGTAAATTAAATAATAAAATGCAATGAAAATTATACTATTTAAATTTATTAAATCAATTGTTTTATTGAATTTGTACAGTGCTTCTAATAGATTACATCAGAAGCAAATTCTACAACCTTAGTTTTATCTTTGTATATATATATATATATATATATTTCACTTTTCAAGATAGTTGAAAGATAAATTTATAATTATGTAAATCAAACATTTTGCAGTTATACAACAAATAAACAAAACCGAAATCCAGAAATAAAAAAAGTAAGACTGATCTAACTACGAGTTAAGTTAATTACTAATTATTTATAAATGTTTTATAATCAACAAGCAAGAAATATAACAATTTACACATAAATATAAAAGTATACATGTTCATGATCTAGCACCTTCAGGGTTATTTTATAAATAGTAATGTTAAACTAAAAATTATTAAACATTCCATACCTATTCTATTAAAAATCAACAGTTTTATAAAATTTAATTAAATCAATAGCATAATGAATTTCATGTTAGCTCAATATTAAACTTATTTTTTTAATATATTAATGTCAATTACAGTTGAAATAGTTAAGTTAAAGAATTTGATTTTAACAAATTATTATATAATTAATTTAATATATTAATAAATTATATATAAATCATAGCATTTAAAGTTAAAACAGAAAAAAAAGATTGTTTGCTTTTACTACCAAAAGAAATTTTAAAAACCTCCTCTGTGATTAAATTTGGTTTGGGTATGTTATGTTGAAATCAAATATTCCTTTGTATTGTAAGCTTTGGGGTGTTGAAAGATTCTAGTTTAGGACATATGCACAGGAATTACACCTTAATTTAAAAATTATTAGTTGATTAATTTATTTATAACAATATAAATTGATCATGAGTTATGTTTTTTAAATATTAATAACATTTCATTTTTACAATAAAATTTTTACCCACTTCTTTTCGTTTTCTAGATTCTAATTTAATTTAGGAATGATTCTTACTCTAAATGTCTAATCATCGTGATTCGTGGGTGCTGGGAAAATGAATGAAGAAATCTTTATTTCAGAAAAATGAGGATCGCTAACGAACTTATTACAGATCTTCGATTTTTCCGATGCATCAAAAAAATGGCAATATCTATTTAATTTAACGATTAAATACGGCACATTATAAAACCTAAAACTTCACGGAATGTTGAAAACTAAATAAATTTTAACAAACGAGCTGAATGTAGATCGGCAAAGAGTCATTAACATAACTTCTGGAAGGCCAAGATTTTTTCTAATTATATCTCAGATTTTTCTAAAAATAAATCAAAATGCTCATGAATAATTAATTTTTAGGAACTTGCTTCCAGAGGTAACTTGCCCGTTGAAAAAAATTTTCAATGTTAAAACGCTGGTAGGGCGCTTCCAGTTATATAATTCCATGTTGTGACCTCGGCGTTCTACATCGTCAAGCAAATTTTCGTGGAAAACGGTTCCAACGTGTTAAACCAACGTTGCCCACCTGCGATTCGTCTTGTGTTTCGTTCTTTCTGTTTCTAGTTACGAGTTTGGTTTTGTGGTTTAGATGGGATTTTGTAATTTGATATCTAGTTTTATTGTGTAAATATGTGGAAAGTTAGAGAATTTGCTGATAAAGTGTTAGTTAAACAATGCGATTTCAAATTCATATTTTAATTTTTTTAGATTAGATTAAATTAAATTAAGACATTAGAGTTGCACTTGTATTGTAATTGTAGGTATTGACATTGAGAATAGACCAACGGATTAGACAACGTAATGAGTAGGGTGAGTGTGTCGGTAACTTTTATTAGAATAAAAGTTGATTCTTCAATTCATTACATTTTTTAAAATGCTAAAAAAAAGCAAATCAAAATGTGAGAATCAGCTAAAAGCCTAAAACAAAAGAACAGTCAAACCACTTCTTTTCACTTCCCATGATAATTTGGTTAAATTGATTTGTAATTGCACTTCTTTTCTTGGGCCTGCAATTGTTTTAATGGTCTACAACAGAGTTTTGCTAACAGTGACAGGCTAACATTTATTTTTTCAGTGCGGTGATTTAGATTCGATCTAAATGAGTATGAGGAGTTATTTTTATTTATGATATTCAACTGTTTTCTTTTTGTCACAGAGTAATGTAATGTAATTATTTTAATAAATATTAATTTAACTTTTTGTTCTATCAAAGATTTTTTATCAAACAGCTAAAACGTTATTTTCTGAAAAATATTTTTCAAAAGCTGCATAAATTTTTTATTAAATTAGAAAATAGTTCAAATTTATCAATTTTTGTTTAGACATAATACTAAATGGTTGGTCTTTCATATGTTTTAGCATCTAAAAAAATTTGGTAAAATCAGAATAATGATAATAATATGAAGCCATTTGAATATTGCCTAACTCTTCCGGGAGTGGAGATTTAGGTTATTGTTAAGCAATGTTACACATGTGTTGTAGTTAGTGGAGGTTTGAGATTTGTCATAGAAGTGTTTTGTAGGTTGGGAGAGGATCGAAAAAATTTTTGTTACTTAATAATACTCAAGTAATACTTTAAAAAATTATGACACCAAGAGACACTACATTCAACCCATAGGTTACATACAATTCAAGTGACCCCTGTTGATGCTTTATGTTATGTTGTTGGCAAACAAAATTTTTTGAACAAGTTAGCCACAGTTACAAATAAATAAATATAATATTTTGAGATGCTAATTTTTATCTCAAAACATTTCAGTTGTTTGTTCTAATCTAAAAACATAAGTTTTGACAAATCTCAAGATATTTGATTGTCTTTGAGTTTTCTTTTAAAAGGATTGCCAACAGATTTATTAAATTGAAAGGAAAATGTACCACCATGTTTGGGAGTGCAGGCATTTTTAATCAAAAACATAAATAAGTCCACACTGAAGAACAAACCTGCAAGAATCATGCTAAAAGTTTCAACAGGTAATATTGAGACATACGTGACAAAATTAGCAGATTTCAGTGACAAACATCTCATTAGAATAGTGTCAGTTAGTTTCAATCATCCATGCCCCGACTTTTTGTTTCTAAGCTAACTTGTGCACTACTATTATAAACAAGGCTATGTAAATGTGGACAATGTTTGTCATGCCATTTTTTCTTACCTCAATTTGTTTCATATGATATGGATTAGATTAAATTTTAAAAACATAGTGCTTTAAGAATTATTCGCTACATAAATTTTTAGATTCACTTGTTGCTACAGGCAGGTTTTCAAATAACTTCCAATAGCCTACTGTTTTATTTTCTAATTTGTTTTAATTCCTTTTTTCAATGTTCAGTACGAATGTTGTGATGAATTACACCGAAGTGGAAGCGAAAGTGAGAGAAGCGACGTGCGATGATGCCTGGGGGCCTCATGGAACTTTGATGTATGAAATATCCCAATACACATACACATATGAATACTTCCCTGAAGTCATGGGTATGCTTTGGAAGAGATTGTTCCATGAGAATCAAAAAAACTGGCGGAGGGTTTACAAAGTAATTTTTCTGATTTTAATTGTACTTTTTCACTTTTTCTTGTTAGAAAAAATGATTTAGATTTAATTAGAGTTTAATATTGAATTTGTAATTTGCATGGATCATCTTCATTTAAATGTATTTTTTGTTTTTTTGTTAATAATAATTATTATTGGAACATTTATATAGTGGTTGTTATAAATATGTGTTCTGAAAGTTTCTACACCATATTCTTTTTAAATTTTACTTTCTGTTATGGTTCATTTTTGTTGGGAAATCAACGTTTCTAGTGCTTGATTTTAGGGCTGAATTTTACTCTATTTTTAGAATTGGTTGACATTAAATTTGCTTTTATGAACTTTTTTATAATACTTGGTACCTTAATACCTTCTAATCATTTTTTATGTGTCATTAATCTTCTTAATCTCCAAATTAATTTATTTGGTATTTATCAAATTCAATAATTTTTTTGCAGTCTCTATTATTGCTGATGTACTTGATAAGAAATGGTTCTGAGAAAGTTGTGGCCTCAGCAAATGAACACCTACGTGACCTGAAAAGGTTGCAGACGTATACATTCATTGACGAGTATGGGAAGGATCAAGGAATTAATGGTTCACAATCTTTTCTTTCTTGTTGTTTATTTGGCTGATTGATAATAATTAAAATCAATGAAAATCAAAAAGCCTACATTGAGTGAGCATTTCTTGCATGTCGAGGTAAAAGATAGAGAAATATTTTTTCGTTTTGTGTTGTAAGAGGAGTAAGACTTCAACCTTTATGTTTAAAATAAGTGAATAAAATGCAATGTTTTTTAGATTAATAACAAAAAACTAATTATACATGGGAGAGTTTGGAGGTCAGTATGAGATTAAATGTTGTTATTTTTAGCACATCTCAGCTGAAACTAAAAATGTGGTTGTGAAGCGTGAAGACGAATCCATTGTTTCAGCGATATTTTTTTAACACTATCATTTTCAGAATGCTGGCTTCAGCAGTTTAATAACCTCTTTCTATTTAAATGCACTAAAAAGAAGATAATAACTTTTTGGGTCACACATGAAGGGGTTTCAAAGTAATACCAATCACTATATTTCTTTCTAAATTTGATATTAAATTTACACAAAGAGCAAATTTTAAATCTATGATTTCACACCACTTACAAAACAATCAAAGAGGTTTGTTGCTTGAAGTAAATTTTATGCTAGATTTGCACCAATATAATTTTGGAACTAAGCTGAAAAAACTTCATTGACTTCATTAAACCGTCGGTAGACCTGATGTCAGCAGATGTTTTTTCTTGAATCGTGTTGTTAGCTCTTGGAACATCTTATCTAATGACATTGTTAATGCTCAGTTACTGGACATTTTTAAAACTAAACTTGTTTTTGTTATGGTGACAAGAAGTATTCAACATTTTAATATTAGTTTGTCATATGTTTGATTTTAATTATTGGTTTAAATCCTCGTTTGTATATATAATAATTATTTTAAGAATATGTTTTTCGAACGTTGATATGGATTTAAACATTGATCTTTTTTGTTGATTTTTATTGAAATTTGTTCTAATTTACTTTGGTTTATTTATGTCATTTCAGTTTGTACAAGATGCTTTGCCCAAGTCTTTCTTTTTATAAGGACAATTATAATAAACTTATTGTCATACTTTCACAATTTATTTAGTCCATTTCATTAAATAATAAAGTTTTATTGTGCTTTTGAAAATAAAAATGTATATCAGAATAACTTACAGAAGATGTAGATTGTAACTCTAACGTTAATTTCTTTTAGAGCTTTGCATTTTTTAATCAATCAGTTGTTCAGAAAGTTAAAGAGCTGACTGATTTACTACAAGATTTGGAGAAATTAAAAGACGAGAGAAAGAAAGCAAAGAAGTCAAGGGACAAATATGTTGGCATTGATAGCCATGCTTTCAAATCAGGTTGCAAGATTTGTTTTGAAACTTTATGACAAAATCTCATTGAAAATTAAATCTGAATAAAAAAATCTTATCAGAAATGAAATTTTATTTGAAATAAAATTTTATTACAAATCATTTAACCATCTTCAATATTTTTATTTTAATCAGTTTTGCTTTCCATTCTAGTTCGTTTTTGTCATAATAGTAGTTTCTGTTGAGACACAAATTTATTTATTTTAATCCATTAATATAAATTTTTTTTAAAAACGACAACTTCAAACATGAGAAATTTGTTCCTAAGTTATTGAAAATGAAAAGATCTCACATATTCGAGGATTCATTCATGCTGCCCCTGTCTCTGGTTCAACCGAAGCTGTAGCCAACTTGCAACCGCCACAGAATTTTTGCAAAGGTTTATTATGTTGAGGTGAATAGGGTTGTTAATGCAGTTGAAGAGGTGTGGCACATCATCCGGGTAAGATGGCGAAACGGGCAGATGTTGTTGATGTTGCTGTTTAATTTTGATGAATAGCTATTGGAAGAGATGCTACGGCCAGACCGAAATTGCGCGTATATTCGTCTAACAGATCTTGATAGCGTTTGTTCAGACCGAGTTATTCTAGGTGTGAGATGAGTAAAACTGTTACTTATGAATGAAATCTTTTATCGTGTGTAATTTATTCAAGATTTTAATGGAGGGATTGTTAATGCCTTAATGAAGTGTTTTTTCATTTTACAAAGGCGATTTATTTGCGATGTGGTTTGTGACGGGCGTGGTTGATGTAGGATTGTTGTAAATATTGAGCTGATAAGAGGTCTGTCGGTTGTCGACATTGAGCATTTGGCGTTCTGAATGAATGTTGCTTGGTGAAAGTATTGTGATAACCCGTGAAGGTACGAAAGGCAGCATTCTGTACGGTTTGCAGGCGGGTTAAATTTGTTTTTGAAGTGGTTTGGGCTCAAACTAGTCTTCAGATCACTTGATCATGAAGCCGAAAAGTGGCATGTAATCTCTTTCATTTCAAATCAAACAGTTTGCGTTAACCTGCAAAGAAAGAGGTTTTAGAGCTTAAATCTATGAATGATCAGTTGGAGGCAACATATCTTCCGACAGAGTAAACTGATAAACAATTTTCACCTATTTATCTTCTATCCGTTGCTAGCAGACAACACAAATAAAATAAAACAAACCAAACACATTATAATAATAATAATAATTATTATTATTGTTGTTGTTGTTACTTTCATCATTGTTAGATTACTGGTTGATCCGTTTAACATTATTATTGTTCATTCTTCGATTTGGAAGTGTTGTTGTGATTCGTTGTTGGATGTTGATGGAAGGTTTATCAGATTCGATGAAAATGGCTTCTGTGATTCTTAGGTTGTAGTGCTGTTGATTGTTGTATAAAATTTTTGTGTAGTTATCTAGAAGGTTCCTAGCTATTAGGGTGTTGTAGAAAGTTGCCAGATGGTTTATATATATATATATATATATATATATATATATATAAATTATATAGATTAATGATGTTGAGGTTATTGTTAGATTGATACGCTTTTGTTGGCTGCGCTGTGGCACCGGGTTCGAGCACTGTTGGTGCCTCAGATAAATTTGGTTGTTTGGCCAGAAAATTTTGGTGTTGAGTAAGTTTTTTACGTCAGGGGTGTCTCAATGATCTGTTTTTGGATCAATTCTCTTTAATTTGTACGTTGCAGAGATATTGGATTAACTGAATAAAGGTGATTATTATTGCCATGGGTACGCGGATGACATGCAGATTTGTGTCTCATGTTTTCCAGATGAGATGCCTACCGTATTAGAGAAACTGACAAAAACTATATCTGATGTCAGCTCGTGGCTGGTCAAAGTAGGCTAAAGTTGAATCAGACTAAGACTCAGTTCATGTTGGCTGGTACATGGCAACAAACGTCAGCAGTTGAACCTTCATCGATTAACATCAGCATGACTGATATAAGTTTCAGTAAAACGGTCACCAATTTGGGAATTGTGATGGACTCCCTTATGACATATTATAGCTGATAAACTGTTGGCTAAACTTCAGATGGTTCAGAATCAGGCTGCTAGAATGATATACCGCAAATTAAAATTTGATCATGCATCACCAATTCTAAAAGAGTTGCATTGACTGCGTGTTGAAAAAAGAATCATGTTCGAGTTGGGTGTAATGGTTAAGATGTTTGAATGATCTGGCTCCGAAATATTTAGAAGATAAATGTATTAGAGTTTCATCTGTGTCATCACATGGGCGTCTAAGGTCTGCTGAATCAAACACGCTGTATGTTAGAGATTGGAATCTGAAAACAACGGATAGAGATTTTGCAGTTGCTGGGCCTATTTTTTGAAACAGCCTACCTGTCGAATTACGTATTGATGTTGAGCTAGTTTACGTATATTGGGTTATCATTAGCTGGGTTTAGAAAACGTCTAAAGACATACCTATTTGGTAACTCCTATTGATCTCCACCGATGATGGCTTCGCTTTCAACATGCTTTATACGAGGAGAGCGCTGATGAGAAAAAATTATAATTAAAAATTTGATTTGATAAATATACATACATACAGCATATATATACACAGCATATACTCCGTGTTTTAAGTGTGACGTAACCAGTAGAAATGTTCTGGATATGGCCGAATAGTTGATGCACTATTTGACCGAATCCTAAAGGCGAATACAGAAAAACTTGCATTTTGAAAAAAAAATTATTTTTAGAATAAAAAAACAAGTTGTTGAAAAGACAGTAAGCGAAGCGTGTATATCCAAAAATTTTAATAATAATATTCAATCTTTTGTTCAAATTTAGTTATTTTAACAGCTCTGATGGCCAAAATAAATTTGTTGCTAACAATAATCAACAACTGTTGTTCTGTTCTGGAATCTAAAAAAAATGGCCGAAACCGAAGTTGAATTTCGGGTAAATATTCGGCCAAACCTAACATTCGGTACATCATTTTGTAGGCTATTTTAATTTTGTTGTCCATGGGTATACTGAAATCAAGAATGTTGTCGAATGTAACTCATAGATCTTCAACTGTACCAACATTATTAAGATTTAAATTATCAATTTATTGTTCAAAGTTTGTGCCAGCAATGTAACTAATGTAGCCATTGAAATTTAATTTAAGACATTCGTCATCAAGTGCAGTGGATATCCATCTAGCAATTTTTTTATGTTTCACCGTTTATCAAAGATTCTAAATTTGATTAAAAATTAAAATTTAAAGGTGAGAATAATGGTCCTGCATCGGCCATCAAATATATCCATCAGAGCATCGACAAAAGAAAACAAATAGAAGATGTCATAAAGGACTTCAAGTTGTTAATTTTTTCAATCGTTCAGCACGTTGTTGCTGCTTTTTTTCAATGTCATTATTTTTTGACGAAAACAAGTTTGGTCGTAATTATTTGTTGCTATTTTATTATTTATGAGTAAGTAATGCAGGTTAATCGCATTTGATGTCACGATAATAGTTTGTTCTTCCACCCTTAATATTGCCATTTTTTGAGATTTTATAATTGTTCACATATCAAATTAGCAAGTTCGCTGGAGCAATGAAACTCATCTTCCCACCATCTAGCATCTTTGGAGCTTTTCATTCAAACTCTCTCGCAGACGCCGACCTTTCTGCGCGAAGATTTTGTGTACACATAAACTGCAATAAAGCACATGCGGTGTGTGATAATTTTTGTGAGGCCCTGACAAGCAGCATGCGAGCCAGGTCATTGCGCAGTTGAAAAAACGCGAAACGAACCTTTGCTACCATCTGAGCTAATTTGCCGACTAAAAATCACGGCAACTTCATTTGATGATTTGTTTGGGATGGATGACATTTGAGCCAGGCAGCACACAACAAAAACGCTAGAATTAATATTATTTATATTATTTCAAAAGTACAAATGTTATAATACGTCGATAATTATATTATGATGTTTATTAATTTTTTGAAAAATAAACTTCTTTTAATTTTCACAGAAAGGAAGAGAGTTTTTCAGATGAAGAAAACAAGTCTATTCATAAATTGGGTCAGAATACGGTATGTGTTATATTTTTCAACTTTTTTAAGTCTATATCAAGTCTATGAATCATTTGCATTGCAAAGATCAAAAAATATTTAAAATTAATTAATTAATTAAAAAATCAATACTTAAGGACCCATATTTCAAGGTGCAGTATGATATTTCTAAATAAAATGTGTCTGTTTACATGATTCTGACCTACATTAATCGGTTAAACATCATGGCCCCACTTTTACACTTAATTAATAAATTAATTAATTCAATTAATTAATTAATTAAAAAATCAATACTTAAGGACTCATATTTCAAAGTGCAATATGATATTTCTAAATAAAATGTGTCTGTTTACATGATTCTGACCTACATTAATCAGTTAAACATCATGGCCCCACTTTTACACCAGTCCTCATCTTTGCATATAATCAATCATCATTAAAGGTCTCACACGAACCTTTTGATGTCACTGAGAATCTTACAATCCCACACATCTGTCGTTTAAATTTTTAACACTTGACGCACGCTGTTTTTGGGAAAGTAAGAAGATACAACTGCAATCAAGTCGACGAGTCAATGCTTTATTGAATCTATATCATGCAACCTACATCATTCTAAACGCAAACGTGCAACCGCCACACGTTCAGTCTTGGCCATCTCAAATTATTTATTAGTAGTTCACATGTTACTTATTTTTGTTTAGAAGTGATTTACACATTAACACTAGAGTAACAAGCAAGTGATGATTGTAAGCCACCAGTGTGTTGTCACAAAAACTCTGCGATACAAGCGAAAATAACATTTCTAAATTTGAATTTAACCTCAACAAATTAACAGGCAGATAGTATCAGCACATTTTCAATTATCTTATCTGATAGAGAATACAATCTACATCGTTTGCTCATCAAATGTCCTTTTTATTCAACTCTTTTTATATTTTTTATAAGTTTTTTAATATCAATTAATAATTTTATTTATAAGTTTTCATAAAATTATTAATTTCTTACCTAAAATGTTCATATTAAATATTTATTTTTCTGCCTGCGTGTTTCTGCAGCACCCAGCCGCTACTGAATTTGCTGACTTCACAGTTTTTGCTGATGGTAAAGACATTGACAATAATAACGTGGTTAAAAAAGATCTGACTAAACAAGGAAGTTTGCTTGAGTTTGCACATGCGAATGGAAATTTTGCAGATTTTGACAATGTTGATGAACTTCGTTGGTAGTTTGTTTCATTATATCTTTTAATATTTCATAATTCATAAAATTTTCACCATAATATAGAAATAAGAGGATGTGCCACATGATTTAATTAAAAATTATAGGTATTTCCTTTTCATCACTTTGTTTCAATACCACTTTTTACACCGCCAGTTTATGTTTGCTAATTTTTTTTTTTTTTAAATTTCTGATGTGTCCTTTTTTTAATATAAAAATTACTTTTTATTTGTACTTAAATGCACTTTTTTTTCTTCTCCCCGCATGCCCCCTATATATTTGCTTCATTCGTCACCATCTCTTCCATCATTCAGTTTGTACCTTTTTCAATTTTTTCTACATCTGCTAACTATGTACTGATTAGTTAGCTCTCTCGTTTTCGCCTGATACACCAACCTGGTAGATCATTTTACCATTAAACGACGTACACCTGTTGAGCTCCCCCACTTCAAACGTCCATCAAGATATGCATCTATCCTAAATATACTTGGCGTTTTTTGCGCTTTCTCGTCCAAAACATTTTATATTTTAGAGCCTGATAAAAATTCTGGTCTTATAAATTTTCCATTCATTTCCTGCAAGCAAAAATCTTATTGCTCCTTTAATTTCACATTTTTTGAATCTTTTCTCTGGTCCTATGCAAGTATGTTTGTTCTTCCATAGGTTTTGCATGTTGACAATGTTAATAAATAATCGTGGGCTAACTTGAGCTCTACTTATTGCTACTCCTCTTAAAAGAGTGAATGCAGCGTAAAAATTCGATTGATCTTAAAAACTTGGTGTACCTGAGAAACTTCACCTGTGCCTCCTAAGTTGTTTGAATTTTTATTTCATAACTACTTTTATGTTTTTCGTAGTGTACTCGTGTGCTTTTGTTGGAAACTCCTTTAAAAATTAGCAAGTGGCAACTCCCCATCTTTCAACTGAACCTTGCGAATTATCCTCGCTTAGAACTGGCCTAACTGATCCGACCACTTCCATGCGGCCTTTTTACCGATCTCTTCAATGAAAAGGTTGACATTCTCAGTTATTCATGGCAGTTTTGAGAACAGATGGAAAAGTCATACAGCTGCAGGTTACTCTTGCATTATGGCAAGACCGTGTAAAGGAGCGACAGACGTTTTCAATAACTGGGTCCTGAATAGAAAAATATTATATGATGGAAGAAATAAATGTTGATGCTTCTATTGTATGCATTTGTACATTTTATTTGTCAGATTAAAAAGCACTATTTAAATTTATCAAAAATGGCGTTGAATGAATTACAATGATTGGTTTATTCTTTACACAAATGGCATCTCCTTGCCTCTATTGATGCGGCGTGACATCCCACTACCACTACGATCAAGACTTTATAAATCTGTGATACGTCCGGTCTTGTTATATGGTGCAGAAACATGGCCAATGACAACCAAACTGGAATAACAACTTCAACGAACCGACAAGAAAATGCTCCGATGGATGCAACGAATTAATCTGAAGTACCACATCAAATCTACCGAAATCCTTCGTCGTGCTGGTTTAGATGATATAAAGGAGGAATGCCGGCAATACCGTCTGCGGTGGTTTGGTCATGTCAAACGAAGTAGAAACAGTGCCATAACTTCTCTTGCAGATGATGTTGAAGTACCTGGTACACGTCCCAAAGGCCGTCCAAAGAAGTCCTGGTCGCAAACAATTGAGCAAAACATGGAAGCTTTTAATTTAAATGAAATGGATACAACTGATCGTCTAATTTGGCGCAAAATGTTGATGGCAAAGAAAACAACGTCCTACCTCGTGAAACTGGGTCTCCGGACGCTAAACGAAGATTGATTGATTGATTATTCTTTACACGCAGATTCGATCGTTGTCCACGAAGATTTGCACACACAACATTCTCTTGGAAGGTTTTTTTTCTCAATTTTTTGTATCTCATGAATATTTTTGTTGTTTTTGTGAATCAGTCAATTTATCCGCAATTATCTTTAGAGCTGCAGTGACCAAGTTCGAAAGCAAGGAGTGTCTATATCCTCGGTACCTCTGAGGAATAAGAGATAATTGGTATTAATGTTAATAATGATAGTTGGGATCTGTAAATTATGTTAATATTTTATTATTACAACGTTACTAAATGGAAGGTAGCGATCTGAATTTTACAGGCTATTTTTATACTAAAAGGTGCTGATCGATCTGGAAACGTTTGCGTCGTCGTATTCCATTATTACCTTTTATGGTTCACTCATTAATCCATTTTTATTTGATGTTTGGATGCACCCTGCACAAATTAAAATAAGTTGCTAGTGTCAATGCAGCTTTAAACGTACGCAGTGGAAAAATTCGATAGAACAGCTCTAGTTATTTACTTCCATGTAATTAACATAACAAGGGTTGTAGTGGTTCAGTAGATATCTCTGTGTGAGAACCACTGGATCGATTTTGACTAATAATATGGATTTAAAATTCCAATCTTCCAAATCTGACTATGAACTCCTGCGTTGTAGAAGCTGTTACATTTTCTTCGTCCAGCTTATTCCAATGTTCAATAACTTTCGTGCTGATGACTACAAAATAAAGTCACAAGTTTTTGACAACTACTATTGTCTTTTCGTCGTTAATTTAGAAATTTAAGTTAATGAGCGTTGGTATGAAAATAATTGCACAATAAACTAATTATTTGCTTAAGGTAATTAGTTTTGTGTAGTCAAATCTGATGCGTCAAATATGATGCGTTCTAATTAGCTGTTTAGAATGCGTTGTATGAAGATCATATTTTTATTTATTTTATTTATTTATTTTCATTATAGAGGACCAAATAAGTTTAAAATAAACTTGTGGAGAGGCCACCTTTAACTAAGTCATAAATAAACATAAAAGTTCATGAGTTAGAAATTAAAAAAATCCATTTCAGCGATCAAATGCATTCAAATACTATATCAAAATTTTATAAAAATGTTAACTAGAATGAAATACATTCAGATAATACTTATGAAGTAGTCAAATAATCATAATAATATCGGATAGACAAAAACACACACGCACAACACACACCCACATACCCATTCGTATTTAAACAACAGCTATATATTAATGTTTATAAATTGTTAGATGGTGGTGTCGGGGTGAAGTAAGTAAAGCTGAGATCGCAACCTTTTTTTAAAGATTTGTTTATTTATTATGTTATGAATGTCATGGGGCACAAATAATTTACAAATTTTAGGGCCAGTTGTTTTTAAACTTGTAGGGATGAGTTTAAGGCGAGTTTTTACTGAGTAAAAGATAGTAGTGTGTCTAGTTTTGAGAGTTTGAACAGATTCACTGAGTGTATAAAAATTGGAAAAAAATGAGGGGAGTAAATTATTTAAAAACTTGAAAACAAAAATAGCTGTAAAATAAATGTATAAACAACTGATCGGCAAAATATTATGTTTAATAAAAAAAGAGCTAGTGGGAAAGAAAAGGTTCAAGTTGAAGATTAAGCGTATAGCTTTTTTTGTGACAATATCATACAATGAAGATGGGTTTTTGGTGAGTTACCCCAAACGGTTATGCAGTAAGTGAGATGAGGATAAATAAAAGCATAGTAGAGTTTTTAAGGCGTATTTGGTTAATTTGTGCTTGATTTTATAGAAAAGACCTATGAGTTTGTTAATTTTAGAGGAGATAGATTGTAGATGAGATTCCCAAGAAAAGTTTTCAGAAATGGTTATACCTAAAAATTTAGAAGAAGATGCACGATTTATTGAGATATTGTTGATATTTAGGCTTAGATTTGGAGACAAATTATTTAGGATTTTTGAGCCAAAGATAATGTAAGAACACTTAGAGTAGTTTATTATGAGTTTATTAGCAGAGAACCAATCAGAATATTTAGAGAGCACTTGGTTGATTGAATCAGAACAGTTTGAGATGTTATCAGGAGTAAATAGGAGGTTGGTATCGTCAGCATAAAGCAAACATTTTATATCGGTAGATACATTTTGGATATTGTTAATATAAATTAGAAAAAGTAGAGGGCCTAAGATTGAGCCTTGAGGTACGCCATTTAGGATGAAGGCCGTCTTAGATTGGTGATTTTCAACGGAGACGTATTGTTTACGTGAAGAGAGATAACTCCTAATCCAATCGTTGGCTACGTTTCTGACACCATAAAGTCTTAGTTTGTTTAGTAAGATGTTATGATTGATTACATCAAATGCTTTGGAAAGGTCTAAAAATAATCCAACTGAAAGCTTTTTGTCATTCAATCTGGATAAATTGTGATGTATGAAATCAAGAGTAGCAAGCTCTGTGGAGTGGTTTGGGCGGAAACCGTATTGATTTTTGCAAAAAAATTTGTTGGCATCAAAAAGGAGAACAACCTAGTATAAACTAATTTTTCAAGAAGTTTGGATAGTGGAGAGAGAAGAGAAATGGATCTATAGTTATTGATGTTATTTGGTTTACCGTTTTTAAAAATAGGAATAACTTTAGAGGTTTTAAAAGTATCAGGAAATACACCGGTGGACAAAGATAAATTTTGAAACGAACAGTGTTGTACAACTTGTATATATTAATAAAAGTGTACAAAGTACCAGAAAAATACGATATCTTAGATTGAATGCTCTTGAATTACAGTTTTTGTTGGTATTAGTTTCATTGTTTTCAAGTGAACGTTTCATGGGCCGCCCGTCTAATTATTTATTTTTGCCAAACATTTCGTCTGTCATTTGATGTTTGTTATCGATGTTATTAATGAGTTCGTTTAACGATTATCTCAGTAAAGAAGAAGAAACGCTCTCGTGTGGCGCCAAGCAGAGCAATGTTGATTTGTTGAACTGTCTTAGTTATGTGCCAAGCTTTCCAATTGCACCAGTAAATCATTACGCTTTCAATATTGGACCGAACCAGTCCTACAACTGTTAGTTTGATTGACATGTCTGGAAGTGTAGAAAATTTATAAATTAATTTTAACTTCAACACATGAATAGGTCCTCAATATTATCCAAATATGATCACAACAACTACTCAGGTTTTTTTTGTTTTCATTTTTTATTTCTGAATATTTTAAAATGCAGGTGATTTTAGATCGCAAAAAAATGTTTGCACGAGATGGTGAATATAAATTGAGTGCGGCAATTAAAATTAGATCAAGTTGGTTTAATCGAGTTAAGATGAAGTAAATTGTTAAAATAAAACTGAAATGGATTTGAATTTTTAAATTATAAATAAATTATAGTAAAATAGTTGAGCGAACGATCATATTAATGATCTTTACATTCCAAATTTGTAGAAATTGATCCTAGAATAAGATTGATTTAAAATCGTGATTTAAATATAAAACTCAGGACCTGCCATCGACTTGGCAGAACCCTGGTGTGAACATAAGTCTGGAGACGTTGAAGATTGCTTCTGCAAAGCCTGCTGCACGTCCAATCAACAACCTCCTGATGCAGCAGCAGCTTCAAACATTCCAAGGTCAAGGACTGTTTCCTCAGACACATTCAAGCCAAAACATGCGTCCATGCACGTGAATTACAAATATCAAAACATGCATTTGTTTGGAAAATATTTTATTTTAGTCATTTAAAATTTTTAATTTATTGGTCGGGTTTTTTATGTTATGTACAATTGTATATTTTTTAAATTTTTATAGTTTTTTGTTTCCTGTGAACAATATTTAACCTAGTCAATGATTTTTTTATTTAACTCAGATATATTATAAAGGAATTGGTATTATTTAAAAGAAGTTTATTTTGGTTAATATTTTAAAAACGCTTTATTTTTAATACAAACGCAATCAGTTGTTTTCAATAATAATCATGTTCCCCTTCCTTCTTAACATGTACTTGTCCTTCTATCATCTTACAATTTTACCGCCTCCGATACACCCTACTATTTAAAATTTTTGGGATAAGCGATCCGACAAGCCAATCTTTTTCGATGAGCTTTAATTAGATTTAATCAGATAGTTTGGTCAGGCAGCTTCTTGGACTTATTTCAATAGTAACATTTTATAAAGAAAAGTAAGGTTGGGATATGTGGTGTTTTTTATTGAAATGCTCTGGCAAATGAATTTCAAACATTTTCAATAGATGGGGCGAGTAAAATTTTCCGATAACAATGCAAGAAATAAACAAGCAGCGAACTTAATTTAATTAAAATAATCTATTTTTTTATTATTCTTTAAAAATCAAGATCTGACAGACGCAGAAACTGTTACAGCATGCAAGGCAGTAGTACAAAATTAAACAAATAAGTAAATAAATAAATACAAATCTTTCTCGTGCCTTATTCTTTCAGGACATAGGCGACCATCGACCTCCACAAAACCCGATCTTTAACACTTTGTAATAGTTGAAATGTGGTGATATTCAACAAGTGACACAAGGACTTCACGGATGTTTTTCTTTGCTGACCGCGATCTCTTTTCCCTGCAATCTTTCCAGTAGTTGTTAAATTTTTCATTCTTTTCTTCCGCATGATGTGACCAAAAAACTTTAACTGCCCCCGTCGGATTATCTGTATTAATTTCCTCTTCTCATAACCGGACTGTTTTAATACATGCTTATTCGAAGTATGAGAGGTCCAACTAATTTTATTAATTCATTTATTTATAAGTCATTTTGTTAATTTTAATTGATTTATCCGCTAGGCAGTAGGACGAGATGTAAAAGAGTGAGAAATTTTGTCTGCGAACAAAAATATTTGATGGAAGTTCATAGAAAGGATTTCAAAAAGATTGGATAATTATTAAACAATTTAAAAAATACCTCCAAAAAAAGTTTTGTACCTTTAAAAAATATGGTCTAAATATTTTTTGTAAGAGAAAAGTCACGATTCGACATCAAAGGTTTTACAACATTACAAATCGCACTTAGTGCAAAGTTTCACCTGCAGGAAATGTTTTTGATTTTATTTAAAATGTACATAATTGAAAAGACAAAAGATAAAAAGAAGTTTTCAATCTCTTATAATTTTTTTCTCAAATTTTCATTATCTTACATCATATTAAATTTATTTAATCTTAAAATTTGAGTGAATAAATATAAATAAGTAAATGGTTTAATAACTTTTTTTATGACTTAATGAAAATTTAATCGAAAAAACAAAAGAAAAAAACTTTTTCAAAGATATCTTATTAATATTAAATTTATTCAATCTTAAAATTTGAATTACATTTGATTAAATGTTTTAATTATTATTTGTCTCACATTTCTCCTAAAAATTTCATTCAGGTAAACTGAATAATTTGACAAGTTTGTATGTGTGATTCACAATTTGGTAGGCATTTTTATATAGAAAGCACTATTACACAGTTTAAACTTCCTGTTTTGTTGAGGTTAGCTAAGCCCTGTAAAACAAAAACATCAAAATATTTATTTGAATGATGATGCGATCCTGTTGTTGATTATATATGCACATTATGTACATACACACAGATAAACACATGTGCATATATATATATATTATTTATATAATATATATATATATACATATATACATATATATAATTTGGAGACAATTATATATATATATATATATATATATATATATATATATATGTGTGTGTGTGTGTGTGTGTGTGTACAACTGTTAGGAAATATAACCGCATTGTTGAGTTTGTAACTAAGTTTTTCAATTTTTTCGAACAATTATTTTATCAATATTATTCAATTTATTCAAATTAATAATAAAAATTTTAATTATTTTAGACTGCATTTTTCGTATATACCTTTACATAAAAGCTTTTTTCGGTAACTTTTACCGTAATCAGTGTAATAAAGTTTGTCATATTGTTATATGTAGGAGTATTTTTAACAAAGGAACTCCAAGTTCCATTGTTTCTTTGTGTGAGTAATTTCTTTGTCGGTAGGATCGTTACAGTCTGTTGTTGGATGTTTATTACAGGGTTTCTAATTTCTATTAAGAAAGCCTCTGCCATACTCAAATTACTTATATTATGGTTGTGAAATAACACTTTAGTATTTGAGTTTATTATTTTCCTTGTTATTTTTATTTGGTGTGAATCCATTATATGATTTTTTATTGCCCATTTTGTGTATGCATTGTTAACCTTCATAGATAACCTTCATGTGTATGCATTGTTAACCTTCTAAGTAAATCAGATATATTCTGTGTTTATGGCCTACAATCACCGATTTTACAATCAAAAGAATATACTAGACTAGATGACTGCTCTTCATTACAGGTTCTGTTGTTCATGTAATAAATCCTAAGTAGTAATTTATCATTTTCATTGATAGTTTTTACATTACCGCTTACAATCCTTTTTATTATGTTCTCATCGGTCTTATAAGTTGTTGGCATAGTATTTTTGTAATAAAGTATTATGTCATTTGTTGTTTTATCATTGTTACTTTTGTTTGTCAAATCACGATCTTTTTTGCTAATAATTTTATTTTTTAATGAATGTTCTATTGTAACCATTGCTAATTAGCATGTTGGTTATCCGTTTGAGTTCAGTTACTCTATCCTCTGGATCTGTAGGATGTGTGAAGGCTCGATTAACAAATGATGAGATTGTGCTTGTTTGGTAAGCTTCGCTGCATTCACTCTGTCCATTCAAACAAAATCCTTTATTACTTGTTTTAGTATAAACGGAAGTTTTGAATTTGTTGTTGATATTGTGTATTAAGGTTTCGAGGAGAAGTAGTTTGTTGTTTATAGATTTTTCCATAGTAAAATTTAATTTCGATCTATTTTATTATTAATTTGAATAAATTGAATAATATCGATAAAATAATTGTTCGAAAATTTGAAAAACTTAGTTACAAACTCAACAATGCGGAAAATGTGCAATTACCCCACCAAGTGAATACTAATAGTAATTAGAACAGTTACTAAATTTTCCTAGTATTAGGTAAATCTAGTAACTAATGAAATTGCATAAAAAAGAATGTATTTATATGTATTTTAAGTTTCGTTTAAAATAAAGCTCTATAGGGGTCAATTTAGAAATATGAGGATTTGAGTTTTGTTATACCTTTCTACCGGGTTTTTTATTTTTTACAACGAGTTATTTTTCTATTTTAGATGCTCCAATTTATAGCTTTTTATTTGTGTAACTAATAAAAAGTTACGCAAATGATCCCCGCCTATTACATGCTTCGCGTGTGATGAGTCGTTAGCATATTCATATATGCTTTTTGTATATTGTTCATTTCTCTGATCTGAATTTCGGTAGAGCGTGAAAAGCCTTTTTTAGACGTAGCGTAAACAAGATTTATTATTGTTATTAATAAACAACGTTTCTTAATAACTTATATACAACAGTCTGAACAAATATATATTGGATTAAAACTGTCAGAAATGCAGTTATTGATGAAAATCACAGCATGTTCCGCGTTAGTTAGCTTCATGTTTAATTTTTCGTTTATTATTATTATTTTATTATTAATTGGAATAAATTGAATAATATCGATAAAATAATTGTTTGAAAATTTGAAAAACTTAGTTACAAACTCAACAATGCGGAAAATGCGGTGATATTTCTTAATAACTTATATACAACAGTCTGAACCCAATGTATATTGGATTTAAACTGTCAGAAATGCAGTTATTGATGAAAATCACAGCATGTTCCGCGTTAGTTAGCTTCTTGTTTAATTTTTCGTTTTTTCTAGCGGTTAATCGTAAATCATTCCCAAGTTTCTTGAGTTGAATTGCTGATATAAATTAATATAATAAATAAATTATTTTATTTTTATTCTATTATATCAACAATTTAATTTAATTATATCCAATAATTCAACAACATACAGATAAGTTTAACTTTCCATAATTTTAATTTATTTATCAACAATCTGACAAACTTTCCATAGTTACTTATAACAGTAGTTACACGTCACTTATGACTGTAGTTACACGCCACCAACCACACTTTTAAATTTATGATAATACGATATGCAAAAAAAATGTTTATTTTATCCATAACTATTTAATTACTTTATTTTATTTAACTTAATTTATTTATAATATGTTGATTTTACAAAAGTTATCACACATGCTGACATTTATTTTAGGCCACATTTATCAGTAACTTAATTGATTTGATTGATTTAACTTAACATTTCATATATTATAAATTATAATTCAATACAAAATTTAAATTAAATACTTAATACATGCAATTTTAGGCTCTGACAATGGCACTAGCCGAAACGGCCAGTCGGCCTAATCACGGACTTAAATAAATATGATTCTGATAAATTACCCTACGTTTTGTTGAAGTCTTATTTAAAAAGCAAATAACTATAAATTGGGGTATTATTTTTAATCGAATAT